ACGGACAATCAAAGCTGCAAGGTGGGTCAGATCCTCTCAGGCTATTTTGGTTTATTTTTCTGGAAGGAGGTCTGGACACGGGACAGTGGCTAGGGGAATGGCAGATGGATTGATTGCACTGCATTACAAGATGGATGGGGAGAGTGTACGAGAGAAGGCTGATTAGCGAAGAGCTGCGAGGGAAAATGATACGTCCCGCTTACCCAGACCGAAGAAGGGGCTTGGTGGAGGTGCCCAACCCTGAGCCTTAGAATCAAAAGTCTGACCCACAAGTAGTGAAAGGATGTAGTGTTTTGTACGGGAACCCCATCCTTCGCCTGACTCCACATTCTGGACCGCCAGACAGCGGTCATTAGGATTTTCTTGGGGGACCCTCCCCGGAGTCATTTTCATCTGACTGAGCAGTGATAGTGTAGACAACCCGAATGTTTGTGGTAGGTCCCCTTTCCCGTCACAGTCCTTTTTCTTTCCATTACGAGGCTTTATGCAAACAAATTGACGTAGTTATATGGCAGGAAAGCACCAGTATCCTTATCTGGTGTTGCTATCAATGATGATGACTATGCTTTTACTAATAGTATTGGGAGACATGGAGACCTCGTCTTGCACGTGAGGTCAATCCATACCAAAAGCCGAGAAGCACCGTACAGCTTCTGATCGAGAAGTGGGTTGAAGGTGCTTTATTGAACGGGATCCCAGTGACTTGCGCAGTTAGCGTAGCTGGTTCAATCAAGTTCAATGCGTCCCGATGCGCCTACGGTGTTGACTTGTTTCGTAAACATACGAGCCGAGGGACAATGGCCCTAAAGCTGAGGAAGGCAGTTTGTAGTGTGACTTGTCATGGTTACTGCACTCAGCGAGAAGTATAGACATCATGATTCTGGCAGGCGATATCAATGTCCAAGTCGACCGACTAATTCCTAAGGAGGTCCATTTTGGCAGCCGATTAGGATTTGACGCTCACTACGCTTCACTGCGACTTCTTCAGTTACGTGGTGAACATCATTTGTTTCTAGCTAACAAGCGTTCAGCATAAGCGCCCACTCCGTGTGACTTGAAGGCCAGCGACAGCAAACCAGCCATGGGCCATGAAGTAATCAGCTACTGGTAGGCAGCCCCGATACAAGTGTCGTTTATTTTGGAGTACACGATTTGAATCCGGTCACGGTAATGCGGGGGCACAAGTATATGTTCCTTTTCCATCGGGAACGCGTCGGTTGATGTAAAAGCACTCAGGTTATCACCTGAAAAGTATCTCTGCCGCCCAACAATATCGAGTTACGTTGGCTGAGAAGCTTCTCCAACTCGACGGGCACAACGGCAGTAATGGTGATGTTGATGAAGACTGGAAAAAGGTGAAAGAAACCATGCACACAGGTTCTGAAATCGTGTTCCCAGGGTCGTTCGCAAGCCCCAACACGATCGTCAGCCCTAAACTGAGACTGGAAAACTAGACCAGCAACAAAACACTACGACGGCACGCACAACACCAGTATCATCGAAGTTTAACATCAGTGGTCAACATCGATGCCGTGCGGCCGTTATTTATTTGAAAGCCTTATTGTGAAAAAAGTGGATGGGTAAGGGAACTACTGTTAGCCTATAACAATCAGTTCGATGAGTCTGTACCTCCAGACACTCACTCAGACAGTCTAGATAGAAACTGACAACAGAAGTGCCACCGGCATCAAATGGCAGATACACATTAGAGGATCTCCAACCAGGTACACTGGAGAGCACGCGAGCCCCATCCTGGGAGACGAGTCGCACTGACAGTATCCATACGCTTAATAATTTGTTTCACAACCCCTGCCAGCTCACCTTTCTGCTTCCGGCACTCCGAATTGGGTACAGAAAACAGCACTCTCCTCGGAAAACGAATCGGCATACAAAATGAGGGGCCTAACGACTGCAGCTTCTGGTGCCGGATGCATTCCTCGGTTGAAGTTCTCACTGCACAACCAACCCCTCGTTTTCTAAGTGTCCTATTGCGGATTCGCCTGAGCCACCAAACAAGCTATAGTTGTCGGAGCTTTGCAGACGTCTCAGTTCTGCTACTCGCAAGGGCCACGTCTCACAACTCTATAACAAAACAGCTCACAAAACAGCCTAATGATCTCGAGAGCTCGCAAGGGCCACAAAGGACCACAAAAAGCTCACAAAACAGCCTAATGATCTCGAGATAGCTCAGCGGTCACGGCGCAAATTTATTAACAGGAGGGTTCGAACTCACGTCGACTGCTCCTGTCTAGGCTTGGGGGACCTAAGAGCATCGCAGCCGTTGTGCTTCCTCCGGGTAGCGTGCTAGCTAGGCACCGAAAAAACGTTAAGGATGAGAATTTTTTATACTTACTGTAGCCATATACAAATGTTTCTTACGATTCGGAGATATACAGCTTTGCTGCCATAGCGGACGTGGCCCGAGACTTACAGATCCGCGCATCTGCCAAACTTGAATCGCAAATAATACAACTTATACGACTGATAAAACATTACACAACTTCGACTGGCCCTCTCTATATTGCAATTAATAAGAATAAATAGCAATCAATCGTTTACTTGTACTGCCCTTTGGGTGCATGGCTGCCATGCCACCCGAAGAAAGCACGAGGGCTGGGATACTGTCAATCGAAATGCAAATGTTGAATTCGAACCAAGAATCTTGATGTCACTAAGCTCGTGCCTTGACTACTGAGTTACCTTAAGCTCATGAAGACCTGTTTACCAGGCCCTTATCAACTCAGCCTCTGGAAAGACCATATAAGCCCGCATGGAACGTCAGCACCAGTCGGACAACGACAACGAGTGACCAGTGTGCAAAATGCTTATCTCAGCGCAACAAAACACTTGGTACAGATCAGCTGAATAATGAACCATTCAAATGTGGTGACTCTCTCGTAACTAGTCTGATATTTTCAATCGGAAAGGAGAATGTAATAATAATAGTAATAGCAATGATCGATCAGCTGTAACACTCATTCACTGCCTAGCTGCCAAATCACCCGAAGAAAGCACGAGAGCTGAGATACTGCCAGGAGGGCGGAAGTCGAGATGCGGAGATCAGGTTCGAACCACGAACCTTCCGGTCAGTAAATTCGCACTCTAACCACTGAACCATCTCACCAATAAAATGAACCGCTTTGAGGTGGCTCCTGTATCCAAAAGAGCGAAAATCACCAGGGGAAATCAATATACTGGCCACAGCTTCCGAAGTGTTCACTGCTACCACACTGTGCAGGCTGGTTCATCACTGGACGAGTTCGGGTTGCGAGAATTAAGTTGAGTTTCGCACCATGGTTGCATCGCTCAAATCTCCGATCTGCGACAAATACTGGAACTGCGCCACTCCTTCCGATGAACAATGGTCGTTCTCATCGACTTCAGATCTGTATTTGATTCATTTAGCCATCAGAATGTGGCAGTGTATAGAGATTAAGTATTGCCTTTCCTAGACTATCTCTCTACAAGAGGTTTTATATGCCAAATCTCACGAAGGCGGATGTGCTCACAGCAAATCATCAACACCAGAAACAGCGACTTCAACGTTGACACTAGTGCTTCACTGCCGTAAAATCCAATTTTATTCGAGCCCCAGGGTGAAGAGTAGATAAGGGAAGAACTTTGTGCTAGCCCATGGCGAATATCCTGAGGTGCTAACACCCTCACCTGCTCAGTCAGACAAGTTGGAAAGAAACCGACAACACAAATGCTACTGGCCGATTAGCCGCCATTCCTTGCAATGTCTCCAACCGATTGCAGGGAGTCATGGGTACCTGGAAGGCAGACCGCAGCAACATTATCTAAACTCCTATCATCTGTCTTATAACCTAAAAACTCAACTCCCGATATACGTAAAATTCTCCGCATCAATCACTGATTCTCAGTAAACTGTAGGAGCACGTTCAAACACTGTATTTGCTGGAGCACAACTTTGCAATTTGAATGTATAAGGTGTAAAAAAGATGGTATGATGGTTGCCAGTTTATACAACAGAGCCTGCTCATGGACTCCAAAAAGGTTCAAAAAATGTCTTCAATAATGTTTAGTATATGCGCATTCCGTTGGTTTCCAGTATTATCGATTTCCTCTGCTTTCTGGACCCACCAAGCTTCTTGCTCTGCACAGACTTTTTTTCACTTAAAGCCTGACAGTTTTGTGGTATTGTACTACCGATCGGGAGGAATGTCCATCAACTTTACTGTTACCCGGGATCCAGTTAGGTGCTCCCACAGCCAAGCAAACCGTACAGAAGCGACTATCAGGTGACAGCCACTCAAGCGGAGAAACCTCAGTTCGGTGGCTTAGAACAGTGCCGAGCCCGGTAGAACCACACAACGGTTCATGGATCACCAGGGGTTAGAAACTGATGTGGACATCAGTTTAACAACCGTACTCGGGCAGTAAAATCATCATTCCAGCGCAATAGGGGGTCAGGACGGCTGATGCTACTACCACAATTTCGTAAACAGTTTCTCGTCAGTTTAGTTTGTCCGATACAAATTGGACCTGCGCCCACCATAACTACATTTTGATTTTTAATTTTTGTGATCTATGAGGAGTTCATCAAGGACTCCGTAGGATTTTAACAGCAAACAGAACTCTAATTTGGTTCATATGCACCGCAACAGCGTTTTAAGTGTTTGTTCCAGTCGCACTCCGTCTTTGCCTAAGGTGTAACGCATTTTTAAAATATAATCCCCGGCGACTTACACGATTTCTACATGCATATGATGGAAGTTTTGTTGACACAAATCAGTGATACCTAAAGTGCCATTCAGCGACTATGTATAACTATACAGTCGAAAGCCAGGTAGTTATAGTGCAGGTCCAATTTGTAGGGGACAAACTAACGATAAACTGTTTACGAGGTTGTGGTAGTAGCATCAGCCCACGGGGAACCCACCCTGGAAGAAAAACCAAGCGAACACCTAGACTCTTTGTAACCGCTTTCACACCTACCAAGTCCCATGCATTGACATTGCTGACCGGCTATACTTTACCTTCGTGTTCCTTGAGTCCAGTATGATAGCTTCGAACAGCCGATGCAATCGAATAATTCAGTGTCGCTAATCGGCGGCAAGCCTTCCCATGTATATGCACCGGCCAACTCAAAACCAAACAGCTGAGACAGAAACCACAACTGCGGCGCTGAGGGCGGTTTCGGGACAAACACTAGGCCGTGGAACCAGCCAAATGTTTCAAGGACACAACCGCAAAGTTGTAGTTTCGGTCAGCTCACCCAAGTTATTCAGGGCATTCAGAGAATCAACCGACGTCCATATTCTCGCACAAAATGCCCAGTTCTTCTCTGCGTGCTGCAAGGTATGCGGCACGTTGAACTCACGCGCGGTACGTTCGAGACTGGTTTCGTTTTTTCCTCAGGCAAATTTGTGAAAGAATTTTGTCGCTGTCCAATCTATCCACGGAGTACGTACGGGTTGCGTTTTCTCGCTCTTACATAACATTTACGTGATAACCTCTGTTATTTTGCACCCAGTCTCAAGCACGACAGTAATGAATACAGAGTGCTCTCTGCAGCCGTCGATAGACCACAACAGATGTGGGCGAAACAGCATTCCGTCGAACCTAAGATGCGGTATGCAATGCCACGCCTGCAAGGCATGGTGGCACTTTAAATGAACGGGTTTATAGGATGACCGGCTAAGCCAATGAGCCCACTCTCCTGTCCCGCTTGTCTGCGCCAGGTGCCTCCACGTTAAGGGTGCTATACATACCGCAGCCAAGAAGAGATCCCCCAAAACCGAAACCCAATCCCACTACTCAATCGGAAAACCCGATGTGACCGAGAAACTCAGCGAGAAACTAGCGCATCTTTCTAAAGCACTGGAGGGTGCAAACACAAGGAATGCAGCGACCTGGACGAAAGTTTAAAAAAGCTTTCTTCGCTGAACGGTTACATCGCGCTATCTGTCCCGAGTCTGCTTGCTGTGAGAAAGGCCATCCAGCTCTTCGACGCAGCGACAAAGACAGTCACAGCGTCTCTGGATGACAGGCACGTAGGGATGAACAGCCTGATCATCTAAGGGTCATTCTGGAGAAAAAACATGTCGACGAAGCTGGCAAAATCACTCCTTCATAGTGTCCCCACTAGGCCTGACCACCACTCACTTCACGCAGAATGGTTGCGCCAGAAGGGAAGTAAGTGAACACTTGGGCTTCTAGTCACTATTTCCTCCCCATTTGCCGGACAGAATATCTTGGAGAGGGCTGTCAGCAGCTGTCCAACAATCAGGTGTCTACCTAAGGATCACTTCAGGCTTCCGCTTGGCGCCAGTTCAGCCGACCGAGAACTCATGGCTAAACCGTTTGAAATCATAACAACTTGTGCTCCCGAAAGCATGCCGACGTAACCGGCCGCGCCTTCGGATGGCAGAATCTATTCAACCACCACACACCTCTCGACTACCAGAGGCATTGATGCTCTGGAGGAGGCAAGCCTCACGTGGATGCGGCGCCCAAAGCACGCAGAGTTCCCAGCGCTTCCTTCCGTAAAAGACGACGAAGATGCAGCAGTTAACTCCCCACCCAAGTCACGACTTCTGAGCTGAACTGAGCCAGATGTGCGGTGACAAGCGACGATGCCGACCAACATGTCAACTACATGCGTTGACCTCGACATCGAGGAATGCTGGGACAACCGTACAACAACTGAGAGTGAAAAAACTGCCAACTTTGACCTCCCATCCATCAAAAGTGGCCTCTCTGCTTGTGGACAAAGTCATCGCTCAGGGCTCCAACAACCAATGCCGCATACCTGACCAAAACGAACCGGAAAACTCCTCGTACACCCAGTTGGCCACGCTGAACGTGGGCTGATCGGGTGTCCATACAAACACGAAAGAAATGTGACTGCAGCCAAACGAACGACATAAGGTTCGCCAACTCAGAAAACTGTTGGCTGGCTTCAAAATGCAGCTCTGCGAAAACGAGCCTCACGCTAGCGACACCAAAAGAATTACTTATTGGTGCCTCCACCTAGCGCCTAGGGCCTCACAGAGGTACCCTCCCAATCGAACCGGGCCGAAACGCGTAAGAAACCAGACGAAAGTCTGCCACAAATCTTCGATCGGCAGCAAATCTGGTCGTCAAAAATGCGGTAGTGAAAGAGTTACAAGCAGTAATGGTCAACATTTTCGCTCACGGGAAAAAGGCTTTGTTCCCAAAGATACGGGCTCCCACAAACCGAAAATGCTCTGCAAATGGAATGTTTGGCGTTTTGTACCTTCATTTTGCTTTCATTATAACACTACGTATTTCATCAATTGCATAATCGTTTTTGTTTGAAAAAACTACAAAAACGCGCGCTTATGCAATTTCACAGAATACAAGCGTGGTCACGTGTTTCGACTCTCCTGATTTTGCTCGCGCTTGCAGCGGTCATTCGCGAGTCTCATGTGCTAACCCTGGTATCAGCACATTTCAGACCATCTTCGGAATCTATTATATGTGGGAACTGTTCAGGAGAAGACCCCTGGACCACCATAATTGGATTATTGTTTATTCGCTGACCTGGAACAACGACGCACTATTTTAGGTGGAGCAATTTTTGGTGAGCCTGATCCATCTGACCTCTTTATTATTATACACCCAACCTAGCGTTATTATTTTTACTTCTTTGCCACAAACTCCTGGTAACCTAACTTATTGGGTAGCCAGACCACCACCGATGCAGCCACTGAAGCCACTAAGACAGGAAACAGATGAGTATGCCTCAGAGACCTTTTTATGACACTGGACTCATACCCAACGTACAGCTATTAAGACTGCCAACCTCACGCAACTCCCGGCCCTCACCATCGGGAACAGACAAGACAGTGTTGAAATGTTTGTCCACAAGCTGGCTCAGCCTCTTCAACGAACTTTGCGATATTTTTTTAGTCAGTTTGCCTTGAACAGCCGTCCACAATCGCACTCACGGAGACCTGGCTCACACCAGATGTTTCCGAGGCGGAGATCTCAGTAGACGGCTACTCTGTTTTTCGAGCTGACCCAAAACGAGGGAGGGTTGGTGGGGTCGTCTTGTACTTACATGTGGATCTACTCATCTTGACTGTCCTCCCTGATACCACTCCTGCACCCTTTTGCAATGTAATTCGGATAAAAATTCCGCTGCGCGGGTCCGATTCTCTCCTACTCGGTGTGATCCACTCTTGTTTCTCGAGGCCCATAAGATAACCAGTCGCTCATACAAACGCTTAAGCAACCCTCCTCCAGCTACCACTTCACTCACCTCCTGCTGGTGGGCGAATTCGACATTCCAAAGGCCTCCAGAATTAAGCTCAATCGCGTCGGATCAAATGGACTTTTTGCAGCGGCACTGATTCAATTCGTTCAACAGAGCGCTTGGCTCAACATGTCCTCGCACCTACCAGACACCGCAAAGCCAACTACCATCCCTGCTGAACTTGGTCATCATCAACGAGAAACACTTAGTTGATCGGGTAATGGTTAACACCAATGGGAAAGAGTGACCGCTGTGTGCTGGCCCTTGACCTAATCTGCAACTGGGTCGGAAATTACGGACCTTAAATGTGGATTCGAAGCTTCTGCCGCGCAGACTCCCCAGGAATGCGCATCTTTCTTGAACAAGTTAAACTGGGACCAGCTCAGTGGAAGAGCTATATAGGACCATTGTCCAGAAGGCTCACGAGATTGACGCGATCTTTGTCCCGAAATAACCAATACGCAGTCGGATGGGCCGCAAGCTACCTAAAAGGATTCGGCGTCTTATGAACAAGAATCCTCAACTATTTTTCAAAAAGTTGACTACAGGAGACACGGAAGATGAGTTGTTCGTAAATTGCGGAACCATTGCAAATCAGAAATCCACCAATGGGACATGCAAAAACAGATCACGATTCTGAACCTCGCCCGGAAAACAGAAATATGCTATTCAAATATATAGGACGTCGCCACAAAACCAAGTCATCCGCATTCTCCATGAGGGACAAGAACCCGGAACCCATGAGTGACGCAGCGCTGGTATCTGAATTTCACGGGGAACATTATGCGGGTCTGCATTCAGCCCCAGCGCCCCCGTTACATCCAAACTTGTTAAGGCGTGACTACGAACAAACTCTTACTGACTTGGTCTTCACGGTGGGGGACATTTGTCAACTTGCACAAGATCGACCCATTCTTCGCATTGGGACCCGACAAGGTCCATCCAAAGATCCTGAAAGAAACGTCGTCTACAGTGGAAAATCATTCATATCTGGAGTTCCATCAGTCGCTCGACGAAGGTTGTTTTCCCTCTGCTTGGAAGGAAGCGATTGTTACGCCAATCTACACAACAGGTGACCGTTTATCATCTGGCAGCCTCGGGCCTATAAGCTTGACTAGATCGCCATGCAAGGTGATGGAACACACTCTGAAGCCAGCTATCCTAGATCACCTCGCTTTTAACATCTTGGTGTCTCCAGCTCAACACAGAGTTTTTTTCAGGACATTCTTGCGTGACGAAAAAGCTCGTGTTCATGTACAGCCAAATCGAAGCCAAAGACGAGGAATTCATATCGGATGCCGTATTTTTTGGCTTCTCAAAGGCCTTTAATCGGGTCCCACACGTCCCCTCGAGTCCTATGGGATTTACGGAGAAATCCTGCATTGAATAAAGGTGTCCGTAACAGACAGACCATTCAAAAAGAAGAAATTTCTACCTACTCTTCTCCAGCGCTGGTATCCAGCGGCGCTCCTCTTGTCTCCGCTCTGGAACCACTGTTGTTTTCGATATACGTCAACGACCTTCCAGATGTTCTTACAAGTCCATGTCTAATTTTTCGGACGACTTGAAATCCTGGAATTCCAATGCCAGAACCTTCCAAATGAATGAGGACGCAGCAAAGCACTGGTCGTTAGACTGGTACCTTTCTCGGAATGACGAAGATCACATCCATGTGTCATTTGGAGGAGTCTCAGCGAATGCCCTCATCATGCATGATGAGAAAGGTCCAGAAGACATCACGAGGATGGGCGCCAAAGAGGATTCGGGTATCTGGCTCACCTCAAACTTGTCCTTCCCACTTCCCCATGAGATATCGGCCTTAAAGGCATTCGATATTTTTCGGATGATCCGACGCACCTTCTCCCGCATCACTCGCATGGAATTCCAACTACTCTTTGCCCTACGT